CATTTAATCACCTCTAGTAATCTGCTATGAATCATGCCATGCACTAAGCATAAGGGTATTTATTCAATAATAATTTACTGTATTTGTAAAGTTCTTATATTTCAGGATGAAAGGTATTAGATATATAATAAAATATACTAATGGGAAATTATTCTTTCTACTGCCTGAACATCTATTTTCTCCATAACAGCCTCTAATGGCTAAATTCCGTGGGAGGAGGGTGAATTTGAATAGAAAACAGATGACGTACCTTGCACCAAGAAGCAGGGAGAGGCGTGCTCTCCTGTCCAGAAACATGAGAGCCAGGTTTATTGCTAGTCATGTGATGTCAGTGTTTGTGGGCGCAGTGACTGTGTATGAGCTTCCCATTCCCAGAACCATCAGCTCTCATAAAGACTGAGATAAGAGCTGCCGAGGCATCGCCATTGGCAGGCTGTTCTTCTGTTCTTCTTATCTTTACAGAGATGAAGGCTGCATAAAGGTACATGTCACATAGTAACTGACAGAAAGGTAGAGGGGCTGATTTTGAGCCTGGGATTACTCTGGCTTGTGCCCCACCAGGATGGAGCAGAGCTGGAAGGGATACAGCTGGAGTTTGGCATCTTTTAACCTGTCCTGGAGGGAGCATGAACCTGCTCTCCATTAGCTACAGCTCCATCTCTTCCCACCAGCTCCCCAGTGCGAGGGTCTGTAAAGCCAGTGCAACCGGCTACCGTGGGATTTCCTCAGTGAAAAGACCCTGTCTGGGGAAGAGTTTCATGCTCAGAGTCCCTGCACATACTAACCGCTCCCAACTCAAGAATAACTTTGGGTGGATGTAGGCAGCTTGGAATAATTTAGGACTGTCAGGGCTGAAAGCTGCAGAGGTGATGGAAAGGTACTTCTGCCTCCTCCTGCAGTCCAGTGCTCAGTGCAGCAGTCGAGGACCCAGGAGCCCAGCCCTCCTAGTGTACGCATGCTGCTCATCTGCGCCATTTCCACCGTCCGCCAGGTCTACATTTGTCTCGCTATCTAACGGCATTGAAAGGGGTTGTTTGCTGAGGGGGCGGAAGGGGAGGATGTAACAGCAAAAGCAACTGTAAACTGTCTGAAATAATGTGAGGTTTCTGTTATCGAAAGCCACAATTCCCGCATTCTTGGACTATGGAGTAACCCGATGTGGAGACCCAAGAGTGACACTTCATAAGAGGATGCAAAAAAATACAGAAACTTGTAAGGGAAGGAAAGCACACAGACATTCCAGTGGACATTACACTGCATGTGCTCCATCGGAGTCCCTTGTTATTCATCTACCTTTTTCTGTGCTTCCCTAGTATAAGTTTCGAAGGTGTTTATAGACATCTTTATATTTAAATCATAACTTTAAAAAAATATCCCCATATTGGTAAATACAGAACTGCTTATTCATTTTCAGCTATCTAGTTTGTTAAAATGTTTGCAATATGACATGATTCTCTCATGTGATGGAGTGAGGTGATGTTTGCGTGTAATAGCGGTTAGTGAAAACACAGTATTAGTCATAGGAGAGAATAACACTTGACTGTTTTGAATATGAAAACCTTTAGGCTGTGGAAAAAGCCAAACTTTGGCCCACTGTGTTGTTTTCAGAAGTATATGAGAACATACAGGGCAGAGTGACTCACAGTGTAGTGTCCTCTGAGTGTCACCTCGAGTGGGACAGGGCACGATACCCAGGAGAGGGACCTAAGGACCCATTTCTTTGTCCATGAAATGCCTTGTCACAGCCACCCGTGACTTGCCTGCATTGCTCATGCCCCATTTGACCTGATAAAACTCAGTGCTGGGCTGATCTCATTGCCTTGCTGTGAAACCTCCAGGTGAGTCCCACAAGTGTTCGTGTCGTCCTTCTCCGAAGTGTTGGACAAAATGTTTCTTGAAGGGGATGAATGAGGAGTGAAGTCACACAGCAGCATTGGCTCAAATGAATTTGCCCAAACATGGGCTGTTTCTGCCGGGGGGTGGCCACACGCGTGGCCAGACACCTTGTGGCTCTTGGAGCCCATCACAAACTGTGATTTCACCTCGGCCGAGGCACAAAATGCTGAGCTCTGTTTAGACAGAGGCCCAGCCAAAGGGACGTTTGCATGAATACGCTTCTTAGAGAGTATTTTTTTACAGCTGCTGTGGTGTAAAAAACTCCCTTCCCAATGAAGGGAGAAGGCTTCCCATAAAAGCAGCAGGCTGAGGGGAGCCCTAAAATGAGAGGTATTGAAAGTTGGGGGAGACTTTCTATCAGGCATGGCAGCTCCTGGATGGCACGAGCAGCTGGACAGCCCCACCACGGCCACAGCTTTGCGTGGACGGGGATCCTGCCGAGCCCCGGCCCGGGGCAGCAGCCAGGGAGCCCGGGGTCTGGCGAGGGGCTGCGCTGGCCACGACAGAGGGAAGGCAGAGGCGCGCTCTGATTTTAAAACTCAGCTGATTACCGCAAGGTTATGTGGAGAAGCACAGTGTCTCAGACAGAAAGTGGGGACAAGAGTCCAGGTGTTTTCCCAAGGCCTGCCATAAAGATTTCCTTATGTTCTTGTATATCTTATGTCCATCTCTGAGAACAGACAGCTCTTGCATGTAATCAGGTAAATCAATAATTAACCCCACCCCCCAGTTAATTGGTTGGGCCTGTCACAAACATAATCAGGCTTCAGGGAAAACAAATTAGAACTGAATAACTAAATAAAATAATGGACTTACTTTAAACAAGCAAAAATAATAATAAACTCATTATACTGGAGTTATATTTGAACACAACCCGTCACTTGAACACTTCGAATTTGAAAACATGTGACATGTGAGCCAGGGGCTGAGTGCCACAGTTTGGGCTCTGATCAATTTAATAATTCAAGGTATTTCTTCCTCTCTTTTCTTTCTCTGTCCAGTTGAGGCTTAGTTCAGATGCTGGGTCCACCAGTGGGATATGTCACATCGATCAGCAACCACTTTGCTTTCCTCAGCGCTCTTTTTTTTTTTGAAAAAGAGGAACAAGAAGTGAAATTATCTAAAGGAATTGGGCACATTGTCAGATAGTAAATACAAGAGGAGCATGAATCATCCTCTTATAGAAATGACAAGAAAGTATGGAAAAGGTAGCAGTTTGGGAGAAGCAAGTTATGTTCTACACGGCTGATTCAGCTCTCCGGACTGAAAATGAATCATCAGAATATTTAAATCATATTACCAGTATTAACACACACAAAACCCCCAAGCTCAGGAAGCCTTTGTTATGAAACAAATTTGATAACGGGTAACAAAAGAACAAAGGGACAGCTTTCTAAAAACCCTGTACTCACTCAGCTCTGCTGAATGTCCCAGCCTGCAGAACCCTTGGAGAACTGGGGTTTGCTGCAACGGCAATCGCAATGCCCTAGCCACAGCAGAGCACTGCGAAGGCTTACAACCCCAAATCCTTCAGAAACCAAAAGACAGACTGTCCTTTACCTTCTAGAGCTTTTACAGTTCAGCAGTGACATGAAGTTTTTTTAAAACAAAGGAATTACCCACTGGAGAGTACACGTCAAAGGGTTCATACCTTTAGCTGATGATACAGACGTCGTGTTGGAGACCTGAGTAGGAGGTTTGACACAGGAAGCACAGCTTTTCTTATCTAATTGTACCTGAGCCCAATTTACAGCATTAACGAAGCTGTAACACATCAGATTTCAGGCAGACTCGAGGTGGAGATAACAAACAGACTAAAAGATGGTTTAAAATCCCGTTATTTTCCTTCCACCATTCTGGCTCAGCTTAGCTTAGCTGGGGCAAAGAAGTGACCCATGTGTCCAGGGATGTTTTCCTTCACATAGGAGAGGCAGTCACCGACAGGATATAGCGCAGCAGAGGCAGCAAAGCAAACCACACGACTCTTTTACATAATGAATTGAAAAGATTTTGTGGTGAATATCTTGTTTCTGTAAAGTACATCTGTATATTCCACACAAGCTTGTCACATTAAAAATGCTCAGTACCAACATAAATGTGTCTGTTCTGTAGCTGGAATCCTCAGAGGGATCAAAATTAAATAGAAATCCATCTCCACCTGATTTTTTTTGTATGTGTTTTTTGTCTAAAACTTTTAGCTTCCTTCTCAGATCTCCAATTTAGTCTTTCAGCACTAAGGAATGAAAGCTTTCATTCACTGCTAGCAAGCAAGAATCATGATGAAGATTAGCCTAAATCCTGACAAGCTATCCTTAACAAAAGTTGTTTCAATAAAATTATGTATGTTCCTCAAGTAAACATGGACAGGAAAGGCAGAAAGGGAGAGTGACAGCCAGGGAGGCAAACGTTTCTTCTCAAAGAAGCCTTTGAAACATCTGGAATGTTGCAGCAAAAGGTTATTTACCAGGAATGTCAGCCAGTCCCAGCGCAGATGGTTCCCATTAGTGTAAGATCAAGAGACCAGCAAGGCTAAAAATATGTATTTGCTTTTTTAGAAACTGGACTTCGTTTTCTGTACTTTAAAAATAATAATCATTCTTACGCAATTTCTGTAACTTAGAAATATTTTCTTGGAATATTGCTTGGCATGCTGCTTGGGTTACAGGCTCTGTGCCATTGCTATTACTCACAGCCTTTTCCCCTGAGGACTTTCTGATGTATCTTTTACTTAGAAACAGGAGGATGGCACATTACGCTGAAACCGATGACTTTTGTTTATAAAGTGTCAGTGACAAAACACCTGAATTACTGCTCTGGGCCAGCCTCTTGCGTGGCGTAAACGTGTGCAGCTCCCCCGGAATCCACCAGCGTGAGCCACCGTGGGACCGCGGGGACCACAGAGCCCCTGCCCCAGCACCAGACTGGCAGCACGTGCCGCACCAAGCAGTGCACCTGGGGAAGGCTGGGAGTGGAGTGCTGTAGTCATCCTGGTAAATCTCTTTGAGAATAGTGGATTAGAGCCAATGGAAGAACGTTGATTTACACCAGGCAGGAGTCTGGCTCGGTAAGAAGGACATCAGGCAACTACATCAACAGATCCGCACCTTTGTAACTGTCAGTGGAGGTGAGAGGTTCTGATTTCTACTGGCGTTGCTTATGAGGCACATGGTCATCTACCCAGAAACACACCAGCCTTGGAGGCATTCAGGAGTTAAATAAGAAATGCAGATCTAGCGTTACCCATCGTAATATATTTTCTGTTGAAAGCCCTGATGGTCAGCCAGCAGTCTCCAGCTCTGTCCAGAGCACAAGGAGAGAAAAATATCATTCCATAGGGAAAGGTTCAAGGGTTCTCACTGGCACCTGGGGTTCTGCAGCTTCAATTCAGAGTTTGAAATCAAATCTGTCTTCTCCTTGTTAGGGCAAAGGTGGCACCTGTCATGTCTGAAACCTAATGCATGGTTTGGTGAGAAGTGTGACGTGGGGGTAGATGATAGAAGCACCGTGAGCCACAATAATAATGCAAGAAGTACAAGCAGAGAAGTGTTGTCTTGACTGCGCCCATTTGAAAGTCCTGTGCATGTTCCTCACTGCTGCCTTAGCTCTGCTATTGAGGGCATGCAGCTTACTGAAGAAAAGTGTCCATGGTCTGCAAAGCAAGTGGAGGTGGACTCCAGGTCCATTCCTCCACTCCTCACCCTCCTTTCTCCTCCTCACACCTCTGTGCTGAATGCCCCAGTAGTACGGGGAATTGAGGTGCCTGAATCTAGAGCAAATGGAGCTGGAAAAGTCCAATCAACTCCGCAGCCCCCTAAGCTGTGACCAGCAGTAATACATGATTTGGAGATCGATCACAACCCCTTCTCTCTGTAGAAGCTCAAAGTGGGCACATCCAGAACAACAATAGGTGCCACGAGTTTCCTAACTGCTGACTTCTGTAGTCTAACTGTAATTAGACTGTAGTCTAACTTTTGACTTCTGTACATGAGGAAGAACTTCTTCACTCTGAGGGTGACGGAGCCCTGGAACAGGCTGCCCAGGGGGGCTGTGGAGTCTCCTTCTCTGGAGATATTCAAAACCTGCCTGGACAAGGTCCTGTGCAGCCTGCTCTGGGTGACCCTGCTTCGGCAGGGGGGTTGGCCTAGATGATCCCCAGAGGTCCCTTCCAACCCCGAACATTCTGTGATTCTGTGTGATTCCATTACTTTTCCCTGGGGTGGAAATTAAAGGAAAATCTTTCCAACCAACCATGTTACTTCTTCTTTAAGGAAACTTCAGTATTTACTGTCACAGAGGGAGACGTCACTGAATAGATAGGTTTGGTTTCCTTTTACACACTTTTCTTGTCAGTGTATTGCCTTTCCAATGGTAAAACATATTTCTGCTTTGCTTTCTCAGCATGGGTTTAGCCCAATGCAAGGAAAAAGGGAAAGGAAGGGAAGGGAAAATGTGAATCTGATGTAATGAACAGTTCTTAACTAAAAGATTTGAGCTCTCAGTGGAAATACTGAAGAAAATTGTTCATATCTTTCCTATGGACTCGAAATGAAAACCAGGTTTTGGAAGCACACATTTGATAAAATGGTTCTCACTGTCATTGGTCTTCCAGTGGTAACAAACTGTAAGCAGAAGAAAGCGACATGAATGAGTTCAGCTTACTGGAACTCATCAATAAAGCCAACATTTTTGGTTGGGAAAGAGAATTCGTGAGGGTGCCTGAGCATGCAGCACCAGCAGAGGTGCTCCCACAGGAGCCTGGACACCTTGACTACAACCTGATGGCTCACAAACCTTCTCCAAAAAGCCAGCAACTTTCAGAGTTTGCACACTGCAGGCAGCTCACAGAGCATGACCTGCCAATGGCATTTTTATCTGAGTTAGGGTATCACCGAGGATCTGTACAAATACGAGCCAGTAAAACACAATCATTGCCACAAGACCTTGACTTTTAAGCCAAGGTACGGCGAGGTAGTGTGACAATCCACAAGAAACCTAATCAGATGATGAGTGCACTCTGTCCGTTAGCTTTGAATCATTTCCTTTTTTTTGCTGTTTTTTTTTACGGTCAGTACTGTCAGAAAAAATAATGTTTCAGAGGGGAAATATTTGATCAGTACTTCTTTCATTGAAACTTTAATGTGGAAGATGATTTCTGAGAGCGGCTAGCTGCTACGGGAGCTGCTGTTCAGACCTTTCCTCCTGGGCCAGTGATCTCCAAAAAAGAGTTTGTGGGTCTTTATTAGTCTTTCTTTCTAAGGATAGTAGAAAAAGTACTCCCTGGTGTCTTCCTGCCAGTGAAGAAACCTAGTTCAAGTAGAGTGCAACGAGAGCAGGGAACTCTTCTGTCTCCCTAAGGAAAACCAGAGGCAGCTTTAGCAGGCAGAGCAGGGGAAATCTGCCACTGTCCACACTGAACCTCCTGTACAGAGAAAGCATTTGAGCGAGCGTGTGGGGATGATTTAGGGCACCTATCAACAGCATCAAATTCACCACAGGAAAAGAACAGAAGCAGATGCAAAAAAACTGAAAGTTGGAGCTAACAGGAGAGAGGTGTATGAGAATGAGTAAATAAAGCTCCAAAGTATTCAGTGACAAATTCCAAGTCCTCTCTTACACAGAGCTATTCCTTTTTGAACCCACCAGTAACCATTTCTTGAAATAACATCAGCTCTCCTCCCTCATCCCCCATCCAAGTCTATGCACCGTTCAGCAGCAGCAGGGCTGTCAGCTTGGCAAGTGGGCGACCTGTGTAATGTATAATTCAAGTATCCAACACAAAAATGATTGCAGCAGAGTCAGAGAACATGCAAATTATGTCCCACATCCTGCTGTTAGTCATCCTCTTGGGGGAACTCACCCCTGCAAGGCCAGTATCCCAGAACACACTGTTTGTTTGCTAATCCTCACTTTCTAAATGTTTCAACAGCAGCAGAAATCTCACAGCTCTTCTCTCGAAAATGACTGTAACCTAAAACTGCTGGAGTAAAATACTTGGTTCTTTCCC